TCCACGTCGTTTGAATGCCGACGGCTGTGAACAGCAGTGATATAATGGACAGGTCGAATGGGCTGCAGTACCTTACACAAAAGACTTCCCTCCGACAGTAATCTCTTCACAGGGCAGGCTGCGGTCAAACGTCGCGTATATTATGTCATATCATGACAATGGCAATTTGCCGGCTATCAACACTCATTCTCTTTGAATTGTGTGGGCAAACAATCCACTTATCCCCTAGCGCTAGTAGTACTCGTTTCCGCTGTATTCGTAAATATCTGGCTCTTATCAGGGTAACTTTTGTCGGGTTTGGATGATAACATTGTCATGCTGATAGACACGAGGACCCGTGCCGGCTGTCAAGCCTCGCCAAAAGCATTCAGATGTACTAGGCCCGCGCTCGGTAGGATGTTGACCGGTGGTGGCAACTCACCCAGCGACATTGAAGAAAGGAGTCCATGCCTGCATGGCGGCGATCGATACGCTAGCCTGGGCCAAGACTGAAAGGCAATGGTTACGCTACAAGGGCTGGCTTGGAGGTACCTCCAGCGACAATGGCTGTGATAGAGTTGAGTGCCACTGCGATACCGAAGGTCGAAGGGATTAGGTCAGCCTGATTGGTAGTCGAGGCCTCGCAGATGAACCATGCATCGAAGACACTAACACAACGGCAGTGTCCAGCGGCAAGGGCAATGGCTGCTCCTACCTGAAGAGGAGGCTGGTCGCCATACCCCCTAGAAGACGGCCAAGCATGAGGACCGGGTAGGAGGGGACGTGCTTTGTCAGGCAGGAGAGTACGTAGAGGCCGCAGTACAGGAGGCAGAAGCGCTTACGCCCGCACCTGGTGACTGTCGTGCAAGGAGTGTTTGCGTACGTTGCCCGGACCTGTCGGCAAAGCTGCCTATGAAAGTCCCTAAGAGCATGGAGCTAGCGAAGCCACAAACGAAGAGGCCGGCGTTCTGGTGGCGATCGAAGCCATAGGACTCGTACAGGGCATAAACGTATCTGATGGAGGTGGCTACGTTGGTGTAGATGGAAAGACAAGACCCCACGGCCCCTGGAGCCAATCACTGAGCATTGCCAGGACATAGACTATTAGGTATCTCCTTTGCAGAGGGTGGAGCGAGCACCAGCTCCTGTCTGATCTGAACGAAGAGTGGTATGCTATGGGACGGTGAATCTACGTAAACTGACGGACCATCGCCCATTGAGAGAATGCATGCGGCCCGCATGATGCGGGACCAGTGAAACCAGCCTACTTTCTCTCGCTGTTGTCATCACCACCTGGCCGGAGTGCCCGGCGACGGGCGAGCCAGTAGAGGAGGCCAGTCGAGGCAAGCTGGCAGGGGAAGATATTGGCAACAGGGCTCAGTGGTCATATCTCACCAGCGCAATAAACAAAACGCGGAGGCCTGCACTCGTCAGAGAGTTGGAGGTGGTCTGCTCATCTGGGGTGGCCTGCGTGGGGATTGGCATTTACAGGGATGACACGACCTTGGCAAGAGGTGGGACTCTTATCAATCGCGGAGGCCTGAATAAGTGTGCAGGCACTCCTGTACCGAACGACGAAGACTGTGATAGCAGTACTGATTCCAGAGCTAACGAAGAGGGTGAGGTATGGTACGAGAGTGACGAAGCTTATAACGAAGTAACGAAGCATATAGGCCGAGACATCTTCCAGTCAACAGCATCACAATAGTGTACCTCACAGTGTGAGGCTCACACAGTCATTGTCGAGTCGAGCGCGCGATTGTTCACGCGTGCACCGTATGGCTAATCTGCCTGTTGTCGTCAGCCGTTGGTCTCTCCTATTCCCCTTTCATGTTGAGTTCCCATCTTGATCACGCTGAGGCGCTCCCACACCTTTAAGGTGAACCTAACTTCATTCGCTGGTATGCGTATACTCTTCGCCAACCTCATTGCCCCAGCTCAGAGATTCTGTCGTTGCACTTGCCGTGCTTCCCCGCCATGTTATAACCGTGGCGATTAGCTCATTGCTCTAAAGGCATCACATTGCCCGACCTCCTCGGTCTGATAAACTCTAGTCGGCTAAAGCTCATTCCCTAGCCCAAGAGTCAATCAGGGAATCGTTCTCGGCACAGCGTTATCTCGAGCGCGCAGGCAGCCCAACAACTGCTTTGTCTTCAGGGTTACCAAGCCGTCATAGTGGACAGCATAGAATCAGAGTAGCGGTCGGCTGGTGGCAAGCTGACCGGTGGTCACTGACCACTCTTGCCACTATCGCATAGAGCTCGAGTCAGCCCCCATTCGGGGACCCGGAAAATGAGTCTTTTCATTAATGCTGAGTCTACTGGACCCAATTGTTGCTTGTCCGTTGATGCTCATAGTCAATGCAAGGAGGAAGGAGCGTATAGTTCATCTACCTAGTTCGCTTGCGACAGCTATCCCGGCCGTTACAATTGTGTTGCGCACGCGTGCGGCACCGTTCTTGCGCACGCCCAAGGCAACGCGTCCCGTAGGGTCGATTGACGGGAATACAGTAGTCGAATATAGCTTAGGCGCAAGTAAGGGTTGCACTGATGTATGTGCATGCGCTGCTGTAAAGTATGTATCAGGTATACAGGATTACTGCTGCTAAAACCGTAGCCGCGGGGACTGGGAGGAGGTGGTCCCGAAGCCCGAACAGTGCAGTGAGCACTGCGCAGCGGATTGTCACTCGTGAGGCATCTCAGAGCAGCCGTGAACTGTGTCAAACGGCTTGCCCCAGACAGGGGCGGCGGATCAGGCGCCAGAACTGTGACAGCCACTGCGAGTTGGTGGGCAAGCGAACCACAGTGCCCGAGCTGGAGGCATGAGATCGCGACTGGTGATCCCAAGACGTACCAAGGTAGGTATGCGGATCCTGATCCATGGCTGATCTTGAGAAGAAAATCAGACGGATGGATCAGGTCTTGGTTCTTTCCACTATTTCCCCGAGTTTTGTCTCAAGTACCGTTTATCACGATCAAGTGGGTGATCCACGGTTTCCGAATCACTATCCGTGGATCAGATCGCACGTGGATCCCATATTTGAGTATCAGAATACTTGTTTATGACTCAGCTGAGGGAGTCGACGGATCAGGTCCCACGGATCGGAGCACGTAGGCCTTAGAATTTGGCACGCTTAGGCGAAGCGTTGCGAGTCTGGCTCTCTTGGCTCATTCGCCACGTATCGATCGGCACTGAGCTAAACAGCCCGACAGGATCCGATCCAGCCCGATTCGGGCCTCTATAACACGTCACAAAAGAGTGATTCTGTGCGTGAGACGATTTTCGGATCATGCACTCGTACCTTTGGATGATCCGGATCACCTACCTTGATCCACTGAGCTAGTGGATCACGGATCACCGAAATTTCTCGACGAGGCCGAGAATTTCTCAGGCGAGTGATCCACGGATCACGGATCACGAATTTGTCTCACGGATCGAGGATCAGGATCAAAAATCTGGATCACGCGTGATCTGGATCACGAATCGCGTATCAGGATCGTGGATCAAGATTCCGGTTCATGCATCAAGGTTCAGGATCAGGAATCACGCATCAGAACCGTTATTGCGGGATCTGGATCAGACCTTTCGGATCTTGGTGTGATCTGGTTCACGAAGCCGGATCAATAGTGTTTTCGGATCATCGCACAGATTCATGGATCAGGATCCGCATACCTACCCAGGTCTCAGCAATCTCCCCGCGACCTAGGTCTCTCGGTTGTGGGCGGGTAGGTTCGAATTCTCTCACGCATAGAATGAGAAACCACTATTCGAAGGTTGAACAGGTGGTAAGGCAGTTGCTTGGCTTGCTGTAGGTATGGTGAGCACTTGTCGTGAGTTTAATCATTTTGTGACCGTAGTGCGTAGACTTATTTTTTGAGCTCGCTGGAAGCTTCCAGAAAGGAAATATCCTGAGCTCGAAGCCAAGAGTGCTGCAGTAGTTCATTGATATACAGCCCTACAGCACTAGGACAATGTGGTGGAATCGTTGAGAAGGAGACAGCGTGACGTTGTGCGCGGTAGATGAAGTAGACAGATGAGCGATATTAGCTAGCGGCCCGCAATCGCGCCAAGTCAGCGCGTGGTCCCTCTTTACTTGGCCTCCCGACTCCCTATGTCGAGTTCCGAAGTTAGAACTGAGGAGAGACGACTACAGACAAACACCACGACTGATGGGTGGTAAAAAAGCTCTTTATCATATCATCCGCTATAAAGCAACAGTCAAGCTATGCCAGTAAGGAGTAAGAAGTTCTTACTAAGAACAACGCATCTATCTACACTCTGAGATTACTAGCCGTAGTGACAACAATGATACTTACATCTCCTTCCATAACAAAGAGTTTGATTGCCTTCAAGCTGACACCCTGGACTGAACTTGCTACTAACAGTGGAGGATTGTTACTAACAATTTGTTAGCTGACAACGATGACATTGTAACTAGCAAATTGAAATGTTTCTCAGAAATCAATGACTTTTTGAGCAGCCGGAAGGGAGGATCAATGAGTAACCCATTGATACAAACTGTCGTTACTATGAAGAGTTTGTAAGTAGGCTTGTCGCTGAACATTACGAGAAAAGCTCGGGGCTTGCACCTTACGAGAGGCGATTCCCTTTCCTCCGCAAGCTCGAAGTCAACTGAGGCGGTTCGCCTTAGCCGGAGTTGCAAAAAACTGGTGATTCCAGGACTCCCGCGGCTTAAGTACGTTTCGAGTATTAGCTGAAGAAAGAGGAACGCCCTACAATCCATCTGTCTTGTCCGTCTTCCACATGAATGACACCGTTCTTCAGGGGACGTTCTGCCTGCCCCTCTCGCCTTGAAGAAGAGACATGCCTCTGGGAAAAGCTTCCGAGTTCAACGCAGAATTTTCATGAATAAAAATTCTTTGGAGGAACTCACTTCATTGTAGCAGCGAGGAGGCAGCTTGTAACAAACTTTGAAGCGCTACTGGAGGGGAGGTATGAAATATTATGACATATAGGCCGCAAGTATGCGGAAAGACATCTGAATACGCCTGCAGAGTTGAGCCGCTATCGTCTGGTGGTTAGGACGACACGTTATGGCCGAGTCAACCCCGGTTTAAATCCGGGTAGCGACTCATAGCACATAGTTGAAGTAGTCATTACAAACTTTCAGTAGTACTTGCATAACAGCTGCGAGATTCGAACTCGCGCCCTTCCGGCCTTTGACCCCTTGGCCATAACTAGTCGGCCAGGGGTCGAATACTAGTCGGCCATGAAATACCAATCGTGCGCTATTCTTGCAACTTGCAAGTCATTTACGACGCTGTAGTCCAGCTCTTCCTTCCGTTGCGTTGCTCGAAAAAATCCCACTCCTCTTCATTCATCTTCGTCATCAGTGACATCGATATTAACCTCATCCCCTACTACTCTTCAATGCCAAATCCTATGCTCCTGGACCAGAAATTCTGGTTTATCTTGCTCGAGTGCACAGCGACAAGAGGCGATGGATACGTATGGATCTCGTAAGGGTGGCTTCTGGTAACAGGATCTTGGATTACCGTAATGCCGGGGGATGAGGGTTGGGTGGTGTGGGAACAGGGGTACTGGGTAGGGGGTCATGAACAGTATGATGCTCACCGCTATCACAGCACGAGAGGGCAGGGTAGAGAAGGAAGTGTTTGTTTAACAAACTTTGTTAGAATCTGCGAGATGAGCAAAAGATGGGGAGATAGGAATGCTACGAGAGGAAAAAACATTGAGACTAGCTTGAACCAATTAAGCTAGAGTAGTGTGTCAAACAGATTTGCGACAGAATTTGGGATCTGGATATTAAACCCGTGCTTCGCGCGCTCTCTGTAGTCTCCGGCGGTTGATCGAATTCCACGCCGATGGCACCCACGATACCGTGTCCCATAGCGCGAGCAACTCGTTGATGCGAGCATGACTCAACGAGCCCTCAGGGTTCGTGCGCTGACCGGTTGGGCAGTACCACCGGAGTTGACAAGGCCCTGCCGATGATTGAGGCTCTGCGCGCGAAACTAGCTTGGATTTTCATCAACAGTAGCGGCGCTTTCGTATCGAGAATGCCCATTTGGCGTGATTCATAGGGCTTGAAGCTGAATGATAGGACTCGTGTGAGGAACCCCGAAATACATCATCCATAGCATCCTTTTAAAGGATTCCTTTATCGCAGTTGTCGCTCGGGAAATGAGAGCCATAGCGGTATCAGCCGTACTAGCATTACTTACACGTTCAATGTACCACGGGGCAAGGCGGGAATTCTAATACTTTCTCACGGCCCTCTCGTGTTCAAGTCGAGTGCAACTCGACTAGTACTGACCCCAAGCTGGAGGCTTCAAGGTGAAGTCTCTAACTGTTCATCAGTTTCTTCGCGCCCATGCTGCAAGCACCAGCCGACTGCCCCTACGGCGCGAGCAGCTCTACAGTGAGCATGTCTCAACTGATTCCATGGATCGGTGCGCTGGGCAGTCGAAAGAGATCAGCGCCACATCGACAGTACCCGCTCAATCCGCGAGCAGCTCCTCTGGAGCATGACTCAGCCGAAAGGCTGCGGATAGGGTCAACGTCGTGTGGATGGCTAGTAATGCAATTGGCGCGCGAAACCTGTAGTATATTGTCTATATAGACCTCTTCCCTACAGCAGACTTGGTAATTTCTCTCCTCTTGTCATGGGTCGTCAACACCGCGAACTCAGTGCCACTGAGGTTCAGGATCGCGTAAAGAAGATCATTGAGCAGGGTGGTGCTCTGCTGCGTGGCCGACAGAATAAGACGGTGCGCGAGTTGGTTGACCAATGGAAAAGAGGGGAACCTGTCAGGCTTGGAAAGTTCATTTATCAAAAAGGACTCCCGACGAAACCATACGTCAGGGCTAACGCTTCTGTCTTCACTCCCAAGCCTGCTGCATCAGCTTCAAAGCAACCCCCTGCGAATGTGTTACTGTCGAAGCCACCTGCTTGCTCGGCAGAGCCATCTGTCACGCTGGAAGACTGTATTGGGGTAGAGGGCTCCAATAGCAGTGATGCCGCGCACTGTGATGGCGACTCGCCATTAGACTCACGCGATAGCGGTTACCCGTACGACGTGCTGGGAAATTTAACGGAACCGTCTTGCTCGGCGCAATCGTCTCCAGGGAGTACGGTACCCCCAAAGGCTTTGAAACCTGGGGCCTCCTTGTTGGAATGGGCTTCCAAAGGCTCGATCGCGGCTGATGTATCGGGTGGTGCTTGTCCGTCGCAGCGAGTTATACCGTGGAGCACTCAAGAGACAGTTGGCTGTGGAACTTGTCCCAAGTACCAAGCAGATTACGTTCTCGGGGAAATCACCCGTAAGGCTTCAAGCTCTACCTTTGCAGGATGGATTCGCGTGGACTACCCATCAACGGCTAAAGCACCGGACGTGAGCCGATACTTGCTGCGTGATACCTATATCTTCAACCCTTTGGTCGAGTTCAAAGAGCTGCTGGGAGTCAAGTCCTTGCCCTGTGCAGGGTGTGGAGGGACCCTCACCGTGCAAGGACTGAGTTCCCATGGTCCTCGAATTTGCGTTGACTTTCGCAAAGATTTCTGGGTGTGGCCGGTAACATTGGTGTGTACCGGTACTTGCGCTAAGGCCCTTACTGACCGGCGCAAGAGGTTCCTCTCTTTAGCGGATGAATTTATGGCGGCTATGCCCGAAGAAGTACTTCGCTCGGTGCCCTTTGTCCCATCGGGCCCTGGCGGGAAGCTATTCTCACGTGAAATTTTAACGTCGGTCCGACAGATAGCTGGCGGTGGTAACACCCTCGGGCACATCACCCAGCAAATCAATGCGAACCATGTCGAAGATTATCTGGAACGACGTACTCGATATACAGATCACTGTACTGCTAGGCGCTCCTCTCACGGCATGGCCTTTCGCTTGCAGAAGTTTCCTCCTATCGATCGGGATCCTCCGGTACATCGTGATACACTGCAAAGGCTCTATCTGAGTGACTTCCAACGGCGGGAACCATACTTGCACGGTGCCATGAGCTGTCTGTTGGGGAGGGTGCTGAAGGCGGACCATTCTCACGTTGTGCAACTGCTGCATGGTGCTGGTGCCAGCCAGCATTTCAGCGTCATGAACGAGGATTCACTTATCATTGCTATGGGCGTTTGTGAAGGCGACGGACTTGATGAGTACGAACAAATGCTTGTTGGGCTGGCGAAGCGTTATCAAGACTCCGCAGTGCATCTAGGAGTAGATGTCACTGACATACTCCCTCTCTACGTATATGTGGATAAGGATTGCTGCAACGGGTACCTGCCGTCCGGCAAGGATTTCACCTCCCGCCAGGCCGTCACCTCTGATCCGCTCGGTCCGGGTGGCTCGTCAACACGTACGGAGCGAGCATGGCAGAATATCAACCCCACTATCCGTCTTCGCCTCGATGCGTTCCACTTCATGCGGAGATTCGAGTTAGGCGTTACTCACGTCCAGCACGTGTTGTATCCGAAATTTGCATCAGATCTCCGATACGCTATATTCTGCAGGCATGAGGGTGACAGGCGGCGACTAGTTGATGCAGCCGTTCGGCATTATGGGAAACAGGGGCTCTCCCGTCATCAGGCTATTCAACGCGTGACTAAGGAGGATGTGCAGAAGTATTGTCGCCGTCGCATCCCTCTCGGTGACGAGCTGTTCCGACGAGTGAGAGAAGTTATCGAACGATACGACAACAAGGAGATCGATGGTGTGCCATTGTATAACCGCTACATGCCTAAGATCTGGGAGCACTTGCAAATTCACATAAGGCGAGGATGCTTGTCGGACCCAGATCCTGTTGAAGACGGCTCGCTACCACTGTACACCCTGGTCGGTACGGAGTTCTATCGTGGGGACCCCTCTTGCCCGCTCGAGGTGTATAGAACGTGTCGATCAACTAGTCAAGTTGAAGCCTACCACCGAGTATTGAAGAGCAACTTCCGTTCAGCTCACTGTGGTATTGAGCTAGGACACGCTCTGATTTGCGACTGTGCGTACCGTTATAACTGCTCTCGTATTGCCCACGGTGCTACACAGGCTCGCCGCGTTGTTCGAGGGTCTGCCGAGGACGTGCTCCCCATCCCGGTTATGGATGCCCATTCCATCGCTGTTCTGAACAAGCGGAACTCCTCTCTCTTTAGTATTGACGCTTACCCGCTGGTTACCCGTGAATATCACGCTGACGATCCCGAGGAAGAGCTTCTTGGTCTTTCGTATACCAGAGCTCGTGCAGCCGACGTGAAAAGTGGTACTGCTCCCGCGGAGGACAGCAATGCTGTCCCAGCATCTGGGAGGACGCTTTCCGTCAAGCTCTTGAACAAGATGAGGGTACTGCGGGCGAGGTCGACCTGGCCGCTCGCGATTTGGATGACACAGTGCCTTCTACCGGAGACTTGGAGTCAATTCTGGAGTATCGCTATATCCCACTGGATTCTGACAAGTCGGAAGATGAAGCTGGACCGGCACAGAAGCGGCTACGCCTCGCGTTCTCCGGTGGCATCGCTAGACCAAGATTGCCCAGCGTCTCCGAAGAAATGTCAAATTTGTTTCTGGAATTGGCCGCTGTTCACGGAAAAGACCTGGGCGCCATATTTAAAGACTACGAAGTGGAGTATCGTAAGAGGAAAGCCCTGGATGCGAGCTGCCAGTTGTATCAAACTTCGAGAGAGCTGATAGGGAGATTCTTGACTGGGGTCAGAAAACGTAGGGCTGCTGCGGAGATTGAAGTTGAAGACCCTCAAGGCCGGGATCGTATGCGAGCGCTGCAAGAACCTACAGTTGATGTTGCTGAAAGCCTATTTCAGCCGAATGAAGCCGTCGTGCATCCGGGTGTTCGAGTTAGCGAACCAGCGGTCGAGGCTGTCCCTACAAATCCCTACTTAGTCCGGGCGAAATCTTTACTTGCGGATCCAGCATTGGTAGAAAAGCTTGTGGAGAGCGTCAAATCTACCACAGGCCGCAAACCGCCGACATGCACCTTGTGCCAACTACCTATTAGAACTGATACACATCCCATGCGTAATCAGGCTGGTGCGGATGCTTCAGTGGCAAAAACGGTTGGTATTCGATACTGCCCGGTCAAATATCCCGACTTGGCTGCTTTCGATAGG